CGCACGGAGTCCCCGTGACGCGCGCGGGTCGCCCCGAATGGGTCCCGGCGACGCGCGCGGGTCGTCCGCTGCGCGGAGCAGAGAGATCGAGCAGGCTGGCTCCCGCCAGGGATGCGCAGCCCGAAAGCGGCCTCAATACGTCGAATACGACGCAAAACCTCCGAAAATCGAAAGTCGCCGCCATGCGAACTCCGCCAGTGGGCCGCCATGTGAGTTCCGCCACGGAGACCTTCGGTGGAGCTCCCTGTGGGGGCACGAAACGCTGTACTTGGTGGTGGATGACGCATGCGGGCGGTCCCACTGGAGCCTTCGGTGAAGCCCCATCATGGGGCCACGAAGCGCTGTACTGGGTGGTGGATGACGCATGCGGGCGGTCCCACTGGGGCCTTCGGTGGCGCCCTCTACGGGGCCACGAAACGCTGTACTGGGTGGTGGGTGACGCATTCGGGCGGTCTCACTGGAGCCTTCGGTGGGGCTCCCCATGGGGTCGCGAAACGCTGTACTGGGTAGTGGATTACGCATGCGGGCGGTCCCAATGGGGTCTTCGGTGGAGCTCCACATGGGGCCACGAAACGCTGTCCTGGGTGGTGGATGACGCATGCGGGCGGTCCCACTGGGGTTTTCGGTGGGGCTCCCCGTGGGGTCACAAAACGCTGTACTGGGTGGTGGATGACGCATGCGGGCGGTCCCACTGGGGCCTTCGGTGGCGCCCTCTACGGGGCCACGAAACGCTGTACTGGGTGGTGGATGACGCACGCGGGCGGTCCCACAGCCACCAAGTGCTGTGCTGTGTGGTGGATGACGCATGCGGGCGGTCCCACTGGAGCCTTCGGTGGAGCTCCCGATGGAGCCACGAAACGCTGTACTGTGTGGTGCATGACTCATGCGGGAGGTCCCACTGGGGCCTTCGGTGGAGCCCCGTCATGGGGCCACGAAGTGCTGCACTGGGTGGTGGATGACGCATGCGGGCGGTCCCACTGGAGCCTGCGGTGGACCTGTCTATGGGGCCACGAAGTGCTGTGCTGTGTGGTGGATGACGCATGCGGGCGGTCCCACTGGAGCCTTCGGTGGGGCTCCCTATGGGGCCACAACATGGGGAAGGAGGGGGAGGAGGAGGAGGAAGGAAGGAAAGAGGAGAACGCGGGGCGCTCTCTTCAAAACGAGGACCCAACACCACAAGATGGTTGGGAAAAATCGACAGAAGCCGACAGACCGTAAGCAGCCCAGCACAGGCGGCGCAACAACCAACCGAACCGAACCGACCGAACACAACCGACTGCAACGAAGCCGAACCGACCGAACCACGGACACCCTTGCCCCCCCATGCTCCTGGCGGTTCTTTCTCCCGCCCCCGCAGCGTGGGCTCCTGCAGCACCTCCAGGAACCTGGGCTCAAAGGCCAGCCTGGCGCGCACTCAAAAGGGGAGACGACGACGGCGAAGACGGCGACGACGGCGACGGCGACGGCGACGACGACGGCGGCGAACGACGGTGACGGCGACTAGCGACGACTAGCGACGACGACGACGACGACGACGACGACGACGACAAAGAGCAAAAGAGATCAAACAAGCCGAGCCAGATCGATATTTCCATCTGTTTGAAAATATGAACATAGATGGACATATAAACATACGTGTGTATACACACATGTATACACTCGGGCATCCACGGGCCGAACAAAAACCGATCTGGAGTCAAAAACTGGCCAGGATGGACCCCGGGAAAGGAGGCAGCGCGCACCTGACAGTAATGTCTGCACTCCACATGGTGCACTCAGCCCGTGGCGCGCACGCACAACGCCGAGACCGCCCACCGCACCGAGGGGGCCTCACCCCGAGTACGGGACGACACCCGCGGCACGGCAGGCGGTGCAAACGTGAGCGCGGCGACCGTGACTAAAGACGGCGTCCCTGCAGGATACACCGCCGAGGCCCGCTGGGCAGCCTCGGCGCGCGCCCCCACCCTCACACGTGCCTACGCCCACGCGCTAGAGAAAGAGAGAGAGGGAGCCAGCGACGCAAGCACGCCAGCACGGCACGGCGGAGGCCAGAGGCATGAAGTGCTGTTTTGACGCGTTCAACGGACTGCCGATCAAGTAGCCGCCTTGCTCATCGCGGGATACTGGAGCAGAAGTGTAGTGATACGATCTAATCAATAAAACGTATCAGCGCCAGGGAGACAGGAGGAGGAGGACAACGACGACGGCGGCAAGAGAGAGAGAGAGCCCGCAACATCTGGGCAAATAATCCACATGCCATCTCAACGCAAGAAACACAGTAGGATATGTACCATGTTCGGTGTAGTTCGCGTGCGGCTTTTCGGGCTGGTGCACCCCATCCCCGCGGAAGGTATGTTGCCGGATACTGGGGGACTCTGCACAGCGTGGTCGATGCAAGCGTCAAGGCCAGAGGCACAAGGTGCCCTGCGGACCTCATGTCGACGCCCGCGTCCAGCAGCTCCTCCAGCACGAGATGCGAGCGGCGAGTCTCGCCCATTGC